AGCCTAAAAAATTGTTCAAATTCGACTCATTTAGAAATGGAGCCGAGCTTGAACTGAGCCCAAAATGACCTGAGTCTGAATAGTTTGACTATTTTACACAAACAAACTAAATTTTGCGAGATCAAGTTGTACTTTTTTAAGTTCATTTTATAAACGAGTGTAAAAAATTGATCAAACTCAGCTTATTTAAAACACGAGCCGAACTTGAGTCGAGTTTTATCTGACTCGAGCCCGTTCGGTTCAATTATCAGTCTAGTGCATTTTCCTTTTAAATTGTAACACGCACCATAGCATTTGCCATTTTCCCATTCTTTGCATAAAATGAGATGGTAGCATCTGGCTTAAAAGTATTGGGTAAAGTTGTTTAGTACAAAAACGAATGGCCAGAAATGGACAGGAAGTCCAACCCAAAGCTGAGAAATAAAACGAAAGTGCCAAGCAGTATAACGTCCCACTAGTGTCATTGAATATCTATTTCAAAATCAATTGATAATTGGTGGAGACTTGGAGTTACCCTTCAACTATATAAATTATCATTGGTATTCTTATTTACTCAATATGAGATATAAACTCTTTAACATCCTCGTTCATGTGGAACCCGGGCTCGCACGTGGAGTCAACAAATAAACTAATAACCATGCATATCGAAAAATTTAAATGGTTTAGAAACTTGACCTATTAACCGTTTAAAGTCTAACTCTAATACCATGATAGAGAATTTAACCCAAAATCAATTAGAAGTGGATGGATTGACCCCTTAAGTATATAAATAAATCTTGGTGATTTTAATTATTCGATGTGAGATACAAACTCTCTTAACAAATACAATCACCGAAGCGATGACAATGTGGCTAGTTTTGCACCAAAATCATTTAATCAGCTCCTTTTAGTGATAAAAGTTGAAACCATCTGAGAGGAACATTGGCACAAGAGATCAAATGACAGAATTCTTATAGGCTTACAGCCACTTGGCCGTGCTGATGTATAACTTTATGGTTTTACAAGGTACATTGCTAAGTGTGATCAAAATTATGCAATTATTCATAGAACTAAAATATTGATCTACAACCTCAAGGGTAGTCCAATATTATAGTATTTTTAAGACACTTTCATTGAATTCACTGTTGTAGAATTCACCGTCTTTGGTTCATTGTTGGCGGCGGTGGTGATGATGGGTTAATGGTAGTGGATTTCTATGGAAAAAAAAGTTAAATTTACCTATGAAAAAGACAATGAGTCTTATTCAACTTCGGTTGAACAAAGCATAAAAGACAGTCAAGATAATGGGAGTGGCTCGTCTGCGGTTGGAGAGTTATCGCATAACATGCGGTTTAATGAAACAGTTGCGTTTCACGGTGATTTTTGCAATTTTTTTTTATTTCCCCCTACCAAAACGACGTTGTTTTGGTCCTTTAAATCAGCATCAGACCCCTCCCTTTTCTTTTTCCCGCTTCTTCTTCGTCGGGTCTGGTTCTCCCGCCTTTTTCACAGCTCTAACTTCTCCATCTTTTTCTTTGTCGGGTCTAGTTCTCCGCAGTGAACGCCAAAAGGTCAGTGCAATTTTACTTCATATATGTCATACTGTGTGAGAGGATATGTGATGGAATATAGAGTTTTTTGGGTGGATTTAGTTGATATTCTCGTCGTGTTAGTAATGATGTGTATTGAAATGCCTTTTGACAAAAAAGAAAAAAAAAACATGGTAAATAATTTATAAGTTGATCTTGTCCGTTTAGTCTTCTTGTGATTTACTTTCCATGGAAGATATACTTGACATGTATGAATGGTAACGGGCCTTTTACTTTACCATTTCATTTTCTTTATTCTTTCTGACAACATCCAAATTACCTTTCTTTTTTTTTTTTTGCATGAGGTGGTTTTAATTTTGAAGAACGCAATTTGCACTCCAGTTTCTTTTGAGTAGTTTACTTGGAGTTGGAGTGCTGCAGTCGAAAAGGGGAATGTGAATTGCAATTCCCATGACTCTTAATACATGTAGAGAGTTTCTTATTGTTTTATTTCAGTCCTGGAGTATGATATTTAATACGTATGACATTGGACCTTAAACTATAGCATTCATGCTTGATCATTGTATTTTTCTGTCCTCTTTCCTCTACTTTGTTCACCACATTTTCTGCTTTCTGCTAAATTCGTGGGAAAATATAGTTAATATACTTTTTCTTTCAGACTCTAGCTATATTACAGTGGCATTGGCGTGTGCTTGCCAAGCATCTATTTTTTACCTTAGGTAGAACAGTTCTTGTTAGGCTGGCTAAAAGCGAGGTGCCATTCTTGCAAAACCTGTTTAGATTCCATGACAAAAAAATTCAATCCCGCCTTAAAAAGTGAAAAATACATGCCTAAAACTCGTTATCAAATTAGGTACAAAATTTGTAATTTTCAACCATTCTCACTAGTTTATAAATCCATGCCTTTTGTTTTGTAAAGTTTTGCATTAAAAACGAGTTTAATGAACACGCATTTACATTGAAAAGTATGAGATTAACCTCAATTTTACAAGAAAAGAGTGAATCGGGAAACCATTTAGAATCCATGGTAGAGAAGGCATAGAGCTCAAAAACCAGTGTCATGAGTCACATGCAAAAACGCGCTCAACTTCATTTCTATGTAGTTCTGATTGAAGAAAGAAGCCTCAACACCAAAAAAATTTACATTAATAAACCAAAAATTTGGGAGCATCCACAAATTGAGTTAAATAAAGGTAATGGAACCTTTTCCTGCCATTTTTGCCCCACCTCTTTTCCTTTCTTTTGGGCTTTCAACATTTCTACTGCAGAAAAAGGGGGGTTGGACAAAATTACAAAATAACACTCACACAAATGACCAGTTCACGAACGAGATGGCGAGGCAATGGACAGTATTTTCTTCTGCAGCAAGGACTTTCCACACAATGGCTTGTTCATATGAAACATGGCGCCCCATTGTAGACATGCAGATTCCACCAGGCAAGTAAGCGAATCCCTGAAACGAATACCAAATGTTCATTTATATACAGTTCTACATAAGACACCACAATATTCCACAAATGCATTTTATATGATGGCCAAGCTTTAGTGAGTTCAGTTGAGGCAATTCATTAGCCCCCTGATATAATGTAATTCACTCCAGGGAGAGACAAATCTAGACCCACAGCACGGTTAATGATAACATTTCTTTCAAATTAGAAAAAAGAACGTTCGTGTGCATGTTCATGTTGAATGTTTTTAAGGATTTCAAATGTTAGAAGGTGCATTATACTAGTAATGGGTCCTTAAAACTTTCCTGCATGCAAACATTGGACCTTCAGCATTTAGAAATATCAAACTATGTAAGCAACGAATTTCATGCTATGTATTTCCTCCATGTAAAAGTACCTGTTGCATTATGTTAGCAAATTCTGAAAACAATGCCTTTCGCCCAGAATCGTCAAATATCTTGTCCAATGTGATATCCTGCAAAGCCACTAGAGTCGTCTCCAGCATGTCAAGCCCAGACTGGTTTGCAAATATGAAAACTGGCAGCGACTGCAACACCAGAAGAGAAGATACGATTTGTATCGTAATCAAATTCAAAAATTACCCCAACAAAACACAGACCTATCCAATCACTAAACTTGAGAACTGAACAACAATCAGAATCCTGTATATAGGTGTTGAATTTCTAAGTAGAGCCCAAAGTTAAACAATTCAGCCGACCATTTATCTCATTTGCCAGGATATGCTGCCTAGCAAAGTCAGAATTTGACAGATGAAATATGGCCCTTTTCTTTTTCCCTCTAAAACAAGAAATGCTTTGTGCTGTTGTTAAAGAGGATTGAGGGACAAACAATACACCCAATAACATTAAGACATGAACTTCAAAATTTTATTTTATGGTTAATCATATTATCATCTCCTATCAAAAAAACTTCAAAAGAAGGTAAGTTCCATACCTTCAATGAGCAACACAATATAGCATCCTGATGATCCCAGAGATTTTTCAACTCTGTTTCACTGCCCAGAGCATCAGGTCTCAGCAATTCTGTCCCTAAATGGTAACTGAGAATAAAGAAAAAGAAAAATTAAGAGAGGATAGAACATATTAGAACAGATAAAAGGAAGGGTATCTTAAAATTAAGAGCAAGGAAGTCCAGCAAAACTATGTGAACCATACTTTTACTAAAATAATTTGGAGTTTCACAATCGTAGCAACCCCATGTGTGCATGAGATAGGGACGAACCCACAATCAACTGATCTGCAGGGTTCAAATGATACTCCATGGATCCAAGACAATCGTCATGGCTTGCAACTTGACAAGTATGAAGCATGAGAAATAAAGGTGGAACTTGCCTGTAACTCTGGCAGATCCAGTGAGCTAGTGTTACAGCTTCTGGAGAGCCTAGAGATGACTTCGACCCCACAGTAGGGCTCAATCCTGTTGGAGAGATGGCCGTGGCAACCCTCTGGACAGAGGAAATGACACTACGGACATACTGGCGAGCCATTATAGCAATGTTATCCTGTAGATTGTTTTCAAAAGGGAACTGGAAAGCAATAGTCAACACTGATCGCGCAGTGTAACACGAGGACACATCCCCAGCAGCATGGCTTGTTGCTGGCCCCACTTCAAGACTGGATGTCAGATCCAGGGTCTGATGGGTAGTCAATGAACCCTGAGTATCACCCTGAACAAACAAGTCAAATAGTTGTCAGGTAAGAGAGAGTGCCCAAATTTTTATGATAAGACAGGGATATGGTCAAACCAATGGTAATACATCCACTTTTGACTCTGTTCAAATACAAATTCTAGGCTGACACACTGTAATAGTTTTCTCAATTACTGTGAAAAGAGTTATCCTGCATCCAAAAATTAAGCAGGCACCCAAGGTCGGTTTATATAAAACTGGCCCACTCCACCCACTGCTAATTGATTTCTGAACGTGGTCTTAAATTTGGGCCTCAATGGATGGTGTATTAAGTACTTTAAGTCTCACCCAATTGAATTCCCCAGTCTGTTTATCTGTCCATGTAAACTTCAGTCTATTTGTCTGTCTGCTTTTGTTTGTTAGCCCATGCACGAGCCCAGTTTGAATGTGAGGGTGGGTCCCACGTCAAAAAATTAAGTAGCCTTAAGGTGGGTCTATATACTTGAGGAGCCATTTTATCCCTTGCCAATTGATTTTGGGTTGGATGCTCTAGATACAACAAGACGCTTAGTCGCTTAACAACTAACAACCCAATGACCTAGAAGAAGCAACAGCCGTTCACAAAGAAGCTCAAGCCCATTACCTGTACAACCTACTATGATTTGATACCCTAGATTGACATTTTTTTTGTTTAGTACTCAAGGTGTTTTTGCATAAGAACTTGGAAGCAGACTTTCCAACCAAGCCCAACTTAGCTTTTGTGTTAGCACAGCATTTATAGTTCTATAAAGTCCTTTGCTTTTGCTGTTTTACGGGTGCATCAAACACATCTTGATTGAACATCCAACTAGGCAAATTCACTGGTCTAGATGGATCTTGTCAGCACATAGATAAAACGCTAGTTAAGTCAAAGTGGGATATCAGACTTTCACCCAACATATTGCCACTTTGCTACAATGAAATCAAATCCATAAGATCTTCCAACAGCAAAAATAACAGAGATTCAGGTGAAGACTGTTTAACTCAACTGATTTTGAATCCAACGGAATGACGCGAAAACCAGAGGGTAGCAGTAGAGCATCATCTGGAAACATTTCATCAATTGGAGCAAAAAAAAGTTCAGAGCAGGCTCCCACAGCATGCTCATCAACCCCGCTACACACCTACAAAAATGGAGCAATTTCCAGTATAATACTGTTATGTTCAGTCTTCCCTAGGCGTTGACATTCATACATTCAAATACAATCAAAAATTTTAAGCATCACTTACCTGCAAGAGATGAATATCTCTTGGGATAAAACTATCTTCTTGAACAAAAGAGTGGCCTTCAAGCCGAATTACTTCAAGCATCTGGGATGAGAGAAATAGAGTTATGGTCTTTGGGCTGGATGTTATTACATAACAAAAATTAGCATTCTTCGCACTGTCAAATCCATTGTAAACTGGAGTTCTACTTTTTTAGAAAAAGTTCTTCCAGCACAAGCAAGATATTAAAACACTTCATAAACTTCGTTTGAAAAAACAGAAAAAATATAAGAGCACAAATGTTTATGGTAGGTACTCCGATGTTTTTGGGATCTAGACAACGGTAAAAGCATTAATAGTTAAGAAAACATGTAAAAATAGTGGCCATCTCAATGAAAATAGAAGGCCATACCTCTTCATGTTCAATTGTGTGACCAAGTGGCATGTTAATTTGGCTTCCAGTAAATCTTGTGGGTCTCATTCCTGGGTATGCATATGAACTGGCTTTCAGTGAAGCAGCAGAGTAGGCATCAACATTAAAATCTGCCCACTCCGACCGGTGCTCCCTTAGAAAGCGAACTAGCACTGCAGGGGGGACATTCTAGCAGGAAAAAGGAAACAAACAAGCCCATTAGTTATCCAGCTAAATCCCTTTAGAATATAGTTGTCAGCTTAAACATTATGATACCAACTTTGGTCTTCTGAGTGAGTCAATCAATGAGGAGGATCACTTGTATACAAAACTATTAAATCAACGGAAACGAGATTTCATTCATATTATAAAAAAGTTAGATAGACGTTAACGAAGTAATGAATTACAGCAGCAGTTATGCAAAACGATCCACATTTAACATTTCCTTCGGAAATCATTCCGAATTCTGACCCACATCATTGACCAATTTTTTATTTTTCTTTCGGACAGGAAAAGTTTGACTTTCACATAAAAAACAGAATTAAGGAAATATACCAAAGATCCACATAATTAGAGTTACAAATGATTAAATAATTTTGACCCCATTGAGAAACCTTTCCAGGATGAAAAACTTATTATTTTCCCAAGTAATGGCTGAAATAGTGGTCACTACGGGTTGACAATACACTGATGCTGGTTTCAGAATTCACCTGGAGTAGCATAGATGCCTTTGCACATAATACACCTCCAAGCAAGCAGGGGGAATTAGAAGTGGTTCCCAGATTTTTGGTTGAGTTGACTGCAACTATTACATCTTCAGCACCATCACAGTTCATCAATGACCAGCCATCATCATTAAACCCATTGATAGCATCATTAAAGCCTCTGAGAAGGAAAAAATATTCAAACACAGAAAATAACTACATCAGCAGAAATACATGCTATACATACCAATGGATAAAAATGTGGACATGCACAGATAAGGCCAAGAAAGCGCTAGGAGAAAATAAACATGCAAATACCTGCTCAATCTTTGGCTAAACGTTCGCAGAACAGCAGGTTGCCTGCCCAGACCATATACCACCTCACCACTTGTCTCCTGAGCTATTTGCCGGATATAGCGCAGTGCCTTCATACAAACAGCCAAATCAATTCCATTCCTCTTATTTTTTCTTTCTAGTGAGAGTACTGGGGAATTTCTTTCTAGCAGGAGTAAGGGGGAAAAGAAAGGGGAAGGGAGGAGGTAAATTGAATTAAACACATGAAAAGACGTTCACTTGCAAAATGAGGCCATATTCAGCCTTCGATCAAGTATTTTACTGTTATGACTGAGCACTGTCACCTAACTTTAAGAATAAAAAACACTTTGTGTGGGTACACAAACAAATAGGTTCTTATACACAATAGCAACTTGCCAGGCACTCATCTCTTGTGCAATAAGGACCTTTTTCCTGGATGGGCCGGTAGCACAAGGACCTAGATAAGGAGCCAAAGAGCTGCCTTACTCAATAATCACATCAACGTGCAATTTAACAAAAGGTTAGGTGCAGGGGCAGTTGTGGTTAGAAACCACTGAATTGAAATGCAAGGACAAAGAAGGGTGAGGGTGTCTTCCAAAGAGAAAAAGCTACGAGAAAGTGCTCACGTATAATAGAAGACCAAACACCAACTCGAGGGGACAAAATGCTTCCCACAAGGGATCAGTAAATTCACAAGAAAATAGTCTTTGCATTGGAATGGGATAGAATCTGCTCAAAAAAAAAAAAATATCATGGCCATTGCATACGTTCTCTTTCTTAGGTAACATAATTTGATAACTGAGCACTGATATACCATACCTACAAGATCTTAACCAAGCCTCAATTCCAAATAAGGATATACCACACCAAAAACATCTTAGCCAAGCCACAATTCTGACTAAAAAGAAACAATAAAAAAGAAAAGAAAGAGATTTCCTACTCACTGCAATAGTCCTCTTCTGTGCAACAACTTTTGACGATTCATAAAGTGGTCGCAGCACCTCTGGCACACTCCATGCCTAGAAAAGATGAAATTAATCGAAGGACAAAATTGTAGCCAAGAAAGATTTAACAAGCCAGTCCAGAATTTAACCTCAAGATTCAGGTGATCAACTATATGAATAATTGACCCTCCACCCTCACATGGTCGAATCAAATACCCACTTGGAAGCACTTCGGCCCTCACAAACTGAGACGCTGTAGCTGTATCTGGGCCAGCACCAGAACCAGACAGAGATCTCTCACATACCTAAAAACATTCACACCAAAGAAAGAATCAGAGAACCCCAAGAAACCACTCTNACATGCTATACATACCAATGGATAAAAATGTGGACATGCACAGATAAGGCCAAGAAAGCGCTAGGAGAAAATAAACATGCAAATACCTGCTCAATCTTTGGCTAAACGTTCGCAGAACAGCAGGTTGCCTGCCCAGACCATATACCACCTCACCACTTGTCTCCTGAGCTATTTGCCGGATATAGCGCAGTGCCTTCATACAAACAGCCAAATCAATTCCATTCCTCTTATTTTTTCTTTCTAGTGAGAGTACTGGGGAATTTCTTTCTAGCAGGAGTAAGGGGGAAAAGAAAGGGGAAGGGAGGAGGTAAATTGAATTAAACACATGAAAAGACGTTCACTTGCAAAATGAGGCCATATTCAGCCTTCGATCAAGTATTTTACTGTTATGACTGAGCACTGTCACCTAACTTTAAGAATAAAAAACACTTTGTGTGGGTACACAAACAAATAGGTTCTTATACACAATAGCAACTTGCCAGGCACTCATCTCTTGTGCAATAAGGACCTTTTTCCTGGATGGGCCGGTAGCACAAGGACCTAGATAAGGAGCCAAAGAGCTGCCTTACTCAATAATCACATCAACGTGCAATTTAACAAAAGGTTAGGTGCAGGGGCAGTTGTGGTTAGAAACCACTGAATTGAAATGCAAGGACAAAGAAGGGTGAGGGTGTCTTCCAAAGAGAAAAAGCTACGAGAAAGTGCTCACGTATAATAGAAGACCAAACACCAACTCGAGGGGACAAAATGCTTCCCACAAGGGATCAGTAAATTCACAAGAAAATAGTCTTTGCATTGGAATGGGATAGAATCTGCTCAAAAAAAAAAAAATATCATGGCCATTGCATACGTTCTCTTTCTTAGGTAACATAATTTGATAACTGAGCACTGATATACCATACCTACAAGATCTTAACCAAGCCTCAATTCCAAATAAGGATATACCACACCAAAAACATCTTAGCCAAGCCACAATTCTGACTAAAAAGAAACAATAAAAAAGAAAAGAAAGAGATTTCCTACTCACTGCAATAGTCCTCTTCTGTGCAACAACTTTTGACGATTCATAAAGTGGTCGCAGCACCTCTGGCACACTCCATGCCTAGAAAAGATGAAATTAATCGAAGGACAAAATTGTAGCCAAGAAAGATTTAACAAGCCAGTCCAGAATTTAACCTCAAGATTCAGGTGATCAACTATATGAATAATTGACCCTCCACCCTCACATGGTCGAATCAAATACCCACTTGGAAGCACTTCGGCCCTCACAAACTGAGACGCTGTAGCTGTATCTGGGCCAGCACCAGAACCAGACAGAGATCTCTCACATACCTAAAAACATTCACACCAAAGAAAGAATCAGAGAACCCCAAGAAACCACTCTTGACAAAATTAATAATGCTCAGAGAAACCTGAGAAACCAAAACACAACCACTCGTTTAAAGGATAATCAGTAATGTAGTCAAATCAAAACCAAAAGCCCAATGAGTTGCTTACGAAAAATCCATGCGACAGTCTACATATGCGTGTCAGAAAGATTATTCAAGCATTTACACATTTATGTCGATTGGGCCAAGAATAAAAGGGGTATTTGAACTGCTGCTGGGGAGGGCAAGAGAGGGGGATGTTGGAGTTGCTAATAAAAGTCTAAAGAGAGGAGAAAAGGAGTTAAATGCATCATTCAGTTTAAAGTTTAAACTGAGAAGATTTTTGTGAACCACTCTCTTGATAAATCACCAAAACTCTTAGCCTGACCCTGTTTGCTTCAGTGCTTTAGTTACAATCCCAGTATGATGGACCCTATAGTTCAAATTTTCAAATAATTCATGAATGAAGCTGCAATCGACTAAATGGTCCCATCAAAATCCTGTAACTAAAAGTTTCTGAATGAATGCCCACTATTATGCATAACAACTAGACTATCAAAATATTAAGGGTGAAAAATATTCATACCACAAGACTCCCATTGTCTAAAGTTGTGGTGTATCTCAGAGTCCAAAAATCACGTGCAGGAGCCAGTGTAGTTGGAGCATACATCTGAAGAAAAAATCTGATTCATTTTTCTTTCCACGTGGCAAATTTCTATGCAAAACATCAAAAGAATGTTTAAAGCTCAAATTTTAGTGTTCACCTGCATGTATACGAGTTCAATTGTTCCTCCATTTCCTGCAGGAAACATAGTGAAAACTTCAAGGCTCCGACAGTCCCGAAACCAAGATGGGCGATCTTTAAGGATCTCTGCAATCTGTCAAATATGCAAAGAAAATATCTTGCTGTTCAAACAGCACACTACACTTGGCACTCTAAAATAAGCTGGCCCACGAAAAGTGGAAAATAAAAGAAAAGAAAAGGGGAAAATATAAGTCCTCAGGGCAATTGGCATGACATTAATTTGACAAAATCTTACCTTTGGAGGCTCTAAACTTACAAGACCACAGGCTCGAGCTGCCACTCCACTACAACTGTGTGAAATGGCGAAGATCCCAACCGAATCCGGACCAGGCTGACAACAAAGTTATACAATCAGCAGTAGAAACAGTTCTATTTTTCAGAGTCAGAAAGTAATTTCATTATATGCAAACATAATGCAGACCAATGGAGAAGTTGATTCATTATAAGACAATAAATACCTTCATCCCAGGCAACTGGACCCAATCGACAGCAGTTCCTGTAGCCTTGGAAAGGAACTCTGCCAGGGTTTCTTCAGCAATGGAAAGGAGACTGCCACACGAATGAAAGACTAGTTCAAAAACAGCAATAAAATTAGTTGCAAAGTCCAGTGCATGTGTGTGCGCGTATGAGTGTAGAGAGCAAGAGATCACAGAATTGACACTCATATTTACCCCGCAGGGTTATTTGCATCTCGGAGAGAATGCTGAGGAGTGGTAATCACAGACTCACAGCTTGCATCAGTAGCTGCTGATGCCTGCAGAAATATCATTTCAAATTATGTAGAGGACAGGTAGAAAGCATAAGAAAACTAACGCTATGCTATCGCAGGACTATTGCAAATAATACTACTCTAATCAGAAACCTGCATGTGCTATTAATTTAATTGGAATAACCTCAGTTTGGCATTGAGCAAAAATAGTAGGATCCAGGAAGAGGAAAACAATATGTACTTTTGGGGGTAAAAAAACAGATTTAGAGGGCAGATAACTGCTTAGTAGCGAGTAGAAACAAAAAAAGAATAGAGGAAAAATCAGAATGCCATAGATTGGCTCCAAAACAATCAAGTTATGGATGACATGCTTCCGGGAACTACCTGATATCCTCGGTTACATGGAACTGCACATTTTGAAGAGAAATGCCACAAATACTAACAAGCTCAACTCAATCACTCATCTTGGAAACATATGCTGCTTCCAAGACCTAGACATAATGTGAGGGTAAATACCCATAAATAGAATGTGATGGCATCACAAAGAAATAAACACTACAGAAAATAATCAAATTAACAAATATGACATACACTTTGCAATTGATGCCGCATAAACCCATTTTCGCACACAAGCTGTGAAACCTGTTTCTGCAGGCGATCATTCTCCTCCATCAACAGCTTGTTCATCGCATTTAATTTTCTGTTCACAGTCTGAAGTCGGGAAGACTCTTTTCGCTGCTTCTCTCGACACCTGCATAGTCATTAGAGCCAACAACACTTCTTTTTACCCATCTCAAAACCTTTTTTGCCAAACAAACAAAATCCACAAACCCTTTCCACTATTCAATAGCCCACATCAATTAATGCAAGAATCTCAAATTATAAAAAAAATGCAGACTATCAAAATATTAATATGATTACCAAGGTAAAGGAAGGCAAGTCTTAGCATGGAAGTGGATCCACTGATCAAAGCATGAATAAAGAGAAAAAAAAAACCAAATGACTACATCGATCTTTTGTAGCCCACATGAGGTAATGCAAGAATATCAAGGAAAGCTCACAATCTCAAATTTTAAATAAATTGGCGCATTGAATTTCAAGATTTTAAAATGTCATGTTATACAACCATATACTCTACAAGACTAACCATCTACCCTAAAAGACATAAAGTTGTTGGAGAGGGTATTAACTTAAGGATTATACTTCCTCACGCTTAAATATTTATACTTCCTCACGCCGCTTCATGTGCAGTTTGAGCAGAGGCTCTAATACCATATTAAACAACTACCTAGTCCAAAAACTTATGTTGTTGGGGAGGGTGTAACTTAATTACATACCAATGTAAAGGAAAGCAAATCTTTGCATGGAAGGATATCCACTATTCAAAGCACAATTAAAGGAATAAAAACCCAAATGACTACATAGATGATTCCTGTTACCTGCGATTCTGAAACCAGACTTTGATCTGTTTGGGTTCAATGTTAGACAAAATGGAACATTCCCGAACCAGTTGCTGCCGACGTAAAGAACTCGGCTTAGGACACTCCGCATAGACCCTTTCCAAGGCTTCAACCTGCTCGGCCGTGTATCGGACATACTTTCCGGCGTCAAGATGCTTGCTGAAGCTACTACTGCTACTCTCCCTGTGCTGTTGCGCCACCATCGCCATTTCCTCCGCTCAGATTCGAAAACCCAGCTACCAATAAAGATATGTAGCCACTGTAATCGGTGTTTTTTTTATATATCTAGCAAGTAAGATTGTCTTTCAACAGAGAATGTTCCTTGTGATGTCCGAAAGATTAAACGGAGGGGCTTGATGAAGTGCTGAAGATTCTGGGTTCTTCACTTATGAGGAAGGTAAAGCCAAATTAGCTCAACGGTAAATATACTGACAAAAATCCTACCTGTTTTTGCATACGTAGCCTCCGTATTTGTTCGATGAAAGCTGTACACAGCTTTGTTGATGAAGCCGCTTGAAATTTCCACTGAACTGATTTTCCTCCTAAATTTCCAATACACAACAAAGTGTCTTCTCTTGAACTATGGGCAGTCTGAAATATGTCGACCCTTTTACCACAGAAATACACTGATTTCTCACCTCAACTTCCTTAAGTACAACAAATCCATCCCTCAGTCAGCTTTACAACTCTTTATTGTCTCTCTCTCTATGTGTACAGAGTTCAAACCTGCCCTTTGAGACTGATGACACTGTAGCTCAGAGTCAAAAGTTTAGAGCAAGAACTTGTTGACTCGTCCTTAATCTTGAACAGTTGTGTAAGAAATCAACGAACAAAGTCATCTTCAAAACAGAGGAATCGGCCTACACTCCCAGTCCAATAAATACAACAAGATAAACAAGCAATACCAACCCTCAAAACCACATAAAACAACTCTTTTTCTCACAATAAACTTTCTAGAAACCAAAGATTCGCACACAAAGGCTCCCTCTCTCTCTCTCACTCTCACTATCTCTTTGAAGAAGAAGAAGAGAGCCCCACGTTTTATGGCAGTACAGAGCTCCCGAAGATCCGTGATAGCAAAACCCCAGGCATAGTTCAGACCACCACGAACAAATAAAAAACAAAGTGAGAGGAGATTGTGGAGGTTTTCAGAGAGAGAAGAAAGTGGAAGAGGAGAGAGAGGGACAGTGACGGGTCTTTCAAAAAAGTTACCTCGCAAATCGAGAATGCTGGCTGGGTACGTTCTATATATCCTGCTGTGCTTTTCTGAACAACTATACGCTACTAAAAAAAAAAATTTATATTGTACTCTTATTTATTTTTATATGTATTTTTTTATTATTTTTATGAGAATTATTTTTATTATTTTTTTAATACTTATCATTGATTATCTATAATAGTTGTAAATTTTTTATTATAAAATAATTCTTAAAAATTATAAAAAATATTTATTAACAATTTAGATACGGGTCTATTTAAAAAACTACAAAACAAATTAAAATAAAATAAATTTTATATTTTAAGAATTTCTTATACAATTAATTCTTAAAATAATAAAATTTAGAGATATCATTACCAATTTTTTTTTTGTGCTGTAATAAAGTCCTCTTTCAGTACATCTGTACTGTATGGTCTGCGCATTTACGAACTGGTCCCTGTTGTTTGTCTGAAATACGTCTTAGACCTACTGTCCTCTTGTCTTTGAATAAATGTGGTGGTCAAATCAGCACAACCAAATCTTCTGCCACGGCTGTCGCACCACACGTTTTTTCACGGCGTGAATCGTTTTGTATCAGTTTTGTGTTGTGTTGTTTAATTATGAGTTCATATCCAGCATTAATTAACTCTAACTTATTTTAATTTGAATTTATGTTTGTATTGATCAAAATAAATTTTGAATAAATAATTTAATACTAAAATTTAAATTTAAGATTTTATTATCAATTAATTAAATTCATGTTCATAATTTTTCTATAAATTACAAACTAACTTAATAAAAATAGTAATAATGAGTAAAATTTTCTTTTTTCTACAATAATTATGTCAATATTTAATAAATAATAACTAATAATTAATATTTTATTTTTATAATATTAGTTATTCGTGTTATTTGTGTTTGACACTAACATAATCCATTTGTTATTTGTGTAAACAGGTTGTGTTATTTTGACTTCGTGTTGAGAAATGATTAATTTTAATCTATTAATTTAGTGTCGAGTTTAAATTATGTTGTCATATTGTGTCAGAAATTGCAACCTCTATCCTAATTTTAGGGTGTACAAGAATTTTATTTATTGTCCCATAATTTATTCANTTATGGCAGTACAGAGCTCCCGAAGATCCGTGATAGCAAAACCCCAGGCATAGTTCAGACCACCACGAACAAATAAAAAACAAAGTGAGAGGAGATTGTGGAGGTTTTCAGAGAGAGAAGAAAGTGGAAGAGGAGAGAGAGGGACAGTGACGGGTCTTTCAAAAAAGTTACCTCGCAAATCGAGAATGCTGGCTGGGTACGTTCTATATATCCTGCTGTGCTTTTCTGAACAACTATACGCTACTAAAAAAAAAAATTTATATTGTACTCTTATTTATTTTTATATGTATTTTTTTATTATTTTTATGAGAATTATTTTTATTATTTTTTTAATACTTATCATTGATTATCTATAATAGTTGTAAATTTTTTATTATAAAATAATTCTTAAAAATTATAAAAAATATTTATTAACAATTTAGATACGGGTCTATTTAAAAAACTACAAAACAAATTAAAATAAAATAAATTTTATATTTTAAGAATTTCTTATACAATTAATTCTTAAAATAATAAAATTTAGAGATATCATTACCAATTTTTTTTTTGTGCTGTAATAAAGTCCTCTTTCAGTACATCTGTACTGTATGGTCTGCGCATTTACGAACTGGTCCCTGTTGTTTGTCTGAAATACGTCTTAGACCTACTGTCCTCTTGTCTTTGAATAAATGTGGTGGTCAAATCAGCACAACCAAATCTTCTGCCACGGCTGTCGCACCACACGTTTTTTCACGGCGTGAATCGTTTTGTATCAGTTTTGTGTTGTGTTGTTTAATTATGAGTTCATATCCAGCATTAATTAACTCTAACTTATTTTAATTTGAATTTATGTTTGTATTGATCAAAATAAATTTTGAATAAATAATTTAATACTAAAATTTAAATTTAAGATTTTATTATCAATTAATTAAATTCATGTTCATAATTTTTCTATAAATTACAAACTAACTTAATAAAAATAGTAATAATGAGTAAAATTTTCTTTTTTCTACAATAATTATGTCAATATTTAATAAATAATAACTAATAATTAATATTTTATTTTTATAATATTAGTTATTCGTGTTATTTGTGTTTGACACTAACATAATCCATTTGTTATTTGTGTAAACAGGTTGTGTTATTTTGACTTCGTGTTGAGAAATGATTAATTTTAATCTATTAATTTAGTGTCGAGTTTAAATTATGTTGTCATATTGTGTCAGAAATTGCAACCTCTATCCTAATTTTAGGGTGTACAAGAATTTTATTTATTGTCCCATAATTTATTCATCTAATTTATTTATTTAGTTTATTGTAATTGCTAGATTAACAGTAAATTATGATTAATGTTGGAGTTTAATATGAATTTTATTAATTATTAATTAAATTTTATAAATTAAATTTAAATAATATTAATTTTTAGAGATAAAAATTGATTTTACCGATTTAGATGTCCTCAAATATATTTTTTCTTCAATTTTAGGTTATAAATATTATTTTACTGTGATATGTATCTTTATATGTAGGATTAGTATGTATGAATTAAAAAAAAAATCGCTTTCTACTAAACGTCAAAGCATTTTGAAGAATTATGTGAGTAAGACCTCATCCCCACCTATGCATATCTTTTAACGTAAACTCTTCTCAGTCCTTTAGTCTCTTTTTTCCCCATTTCATTCACACACAAAAAATAAATCACATTCGATCCAACGGAAACATTTGAAAAAATTAATGAGATCCATTCATCCAAATAATGATATGTATTTAAATTATAATTTTTTTTTGAATTTTTGTAACATTATTCTTTGATTTAACAATGGACTAGTTCCGTGAATTAAGTCAATCAATGAATTGGTGTTTGGGGGCTGTGCATAAATATAACTATGGGCATTCAATAATTCTTGAGATGAATTTATAGCAGTCAAAACCACGAGAGATTTGTTTGGTTAGATTTTTAGGGAGGGTAAAGATTGACTTCTCTAAATTTTTTTAAATTTAAATCTCTCTTTATAAAGATGGGATTCAACATTGAATCTGATACATAATTATATTTGGTATATAACACATACATATATAGGACTCACAGATATATATGTATATATATATAATTATGAATAATTATTTATCCTGTAAATGACTATTTTACCCTTAATTAATCTAATTTATACTCATATTAAATTGTATAATTGTCTTTTGCATTTTTAACCTCTTAACTCATTTTCTCAAACTCACCTCTCTTAGATTGGATGAAACTCATTATCATGAGTTTAATATTCGGACCAGTTACAGACCAGGTTTGGAACTCTTAATTGAATTTTCAATCCAAATATGAGATTTTGGGATCTTTTGAACTATTTTTTCTAAACACAGCTTACTACCCCCTTGCCAAACAATCCCAAGAGGATATAATTTTTTTTTTTTATATGGTAGGGACGATTTGGGGTGAATTCAATCACTAATGTGTAAGTATGGAATAGATTAGTTGAATGAATTTATTTGACCTAAAAAATTTTTGTACACAACTCTTCGACGTTTTAGACTAGAATAGATTTTTCGTATATGAAGTTACGTCAAACATAACCTATAACTTTTTTATCCAAATTAACGTTACATGTGAACATGACTCATTTACCCTTATTCCAAAGTATAATACCTAATTTGACAAATTAAACTTGTGCTCCTTGAATTTGGTGCAATTTATACATTACCAAAGTAGCCTCATCTTCTTCTTCTTTCTATTCCTCTTCTCTTCCACACTCAATCACACACCCATACGCAATACCCTCAATCACACGTGCATGCCCATTATACACATGTAGAACTCTATTCATCTTTGCGTGTGTTTGTCATGGTTATCAAAATTTCGATCCAAATTGTAAGATCATACAAAATTTGAATCCGAATCTTAAGATTTTATGATGTAGTATAAATAAATTGATTTGAGTCTCTTGTAGATATTTAAATTCGTAAGGTTTTAATAGAACATGATCCAGATCTTATAGGATTGTAGGATCTCGATCTGAAATGCGATTTTACCAATCGAAGTTATTTAGTTTGTTTATTGGGGGCTTTTAATTGTTGAGCAATTCAATCCCTATTTTTAATTTTAATAGTAACAGACTTGGTCCATATGTGAAGATATTATGTAATTGTGAATCTATAGGAGAATTTCAATGAATGAAAAAAAATACAAAAAGTTTATTTTGTTTAGAAAAAAGGTATCCTTTATTTGTTCTCTCTTGTTGAAAAATTGAAAGCAAAAGTTAAATTTTATCTTCTCTTTCGTTGAATCATATCCAGATAGTTTTCCATTTTTATTTTTTTCGTATTTTTTTTTGTTTGGATGTCTTATAGTCAATATTATTATTCAATAGTCTTTTAACTTTTCAGGCTTTCCTTTTTATTTTTCTTTGAAAGTTAAGATCAAAATATTTTAATTTTTCTATTATATTTTGCAAAACCTCACAAGATTAATAGTTCATATTACGATTCTCGATTCGATCATACAATCTTGATTTTGTGCCTCTCCCATCGATTCAAGATGGAATCCCAATTTTACAAACCTTGGGGGGTGCGCTTCCATCGAATCAGTTACTTAATTATCATAAAGTCATCTAAATTCGTTATGACCGCCAGACTAGCTATTCAATTACTATGTTGAACAACTATAAATTGTAAGCTCTACCAACACTTGGGGGTATCATACTCATTCGAGCACAACTCTCCTCTCCTTCTCCAAACTTGTAACTCTCTGTTCTCCCTACACACTTGAGTTAATAAAATACCCAGTAACTTTTGTCATTCAAAATGGATGTAGGTTACGTTGACCGAATCACTATAAACCTTGTCTTCTCTCTCCCTTTACTTATTTACTGCATTTTATACTGTTTACTTGATAAATAGTGTGC